TAGTAGAGAGGATAGGCTGTTTACTACCATTGGCATTTCTGATTTATATTGCTTAACACATACCAAATAAGATGCATAACTGCCCCGAGGAATACTCGTGTGGTCATACCCTATTTTCCCATCATTTTCATGATTTTCATATGTCTGTGTTAACAGCGATTAAGTATTGGCAGAAATGGTGAAATGCCCATATCTAGAAATGAACAACATGCATTTGATTTTCTTTATAATTTTCCAGTATTATTCTTGTTTAGTAGAAAACATTGCTCCATGTTGGAAAAAATCCCACCCATTTTCGGCTGATTATGTCTCATGGTCCCATCCGTAAGGCAGAAAACCAACCCAAACATATTGCTAAAGAAGTCTCCTCTAGCCATCCGAGGCGCCTAGTCGCTCTCCAATCTTTTTTTCATTTTGTCTTTCATTTGGGCCCTTCTCCAATATGAAAACTTTTCACTCTTCGCTGGACTGCAGTTGATCATAGGAGGTGTAAGGACTAATACATGTCAGACATGTAGAAGAGCCTCTGGCACAGAATAAGCACTCATTACATAGTGACATTCTCTTAGAATGTGTACTCCCAGTGTTTCTTGCTGTGTATTTGAGGAAGCCCCAACTAGCTCGTATGGAGAGACTTCATGGAGAGCCATGTGTACATGTTCCAGCTCACAGTTCAGCTGACGTCCCTTCCGACAGCCGAGCATCAGCTGCTATTTATGTGAACGAAGATACGTTTAAATGCTTCTTGCTACATCAATCACTCCTAGCCTTTGAGTCTTGTAGCTGAGAGCCCAGACATTGTGGACAGAGACAAGCCAGTTTCACTGGAATCACAGATTCCTAACAACAATAAAATAATGTTTATGGCCGGACAGTTGCTCCACACTGTAATCCTAGCACTCTAGGAGGCCAAGGCAGGAGAATGCTTGAGTCAGGAGTTCAAGACCTGCCTGAACAAGAGGAGACCCTATCTCTACTAAAATAGAAAAAATTAGCTTAGGAACTAAAATAAGAAACAAAAATTAGCTGGCATGGTGGCAAGTGCCTATAGTCCGTTACTTAGAGGCTGAGGCAGGAATTACTTGAGCCAGATTGAGGTTGCTGTGAGCTAGGCTGATGCCATGGCACTTAGCCCTGCAACAGATGAGACCTCTTTTAAAAAAAATAAAAAAAATAAGATAAAACAAGTGTTTTATTTCACTATGTTGGATTGGTTTCTTGTGCAGTATGATGTTCTTTGGAACATTCAGCACATTCTGTTTGAATGCTTGATTTTCTGTTGACTGTATGCTCCTTAAGGCTAAGACTGTGTCTTGAGTGTTATGCTGTATCCCGTATGGCACAAATAGGTAGTGTGCAGGGTAAATAGTGAATTAACGAAGGTATTCTTTCTTCTTTTAATGTGGGTGACACGCAGTTGGTGTCGCGTGGAAACAAGCACACACTGTTCTGCTCCAGAGTGTTCTGGCCAGCAATTCGTGTCTTACCAGCTTGCTCCATCCCTCCAGGAACCTCTTCTCCCTCCTCACCCTGACTGATCTGTTGGGGAGATGCAATGATGTTCTGCCACATTTTTCTTTACTTGCAGGTGATGCCCGTAATGCACACTCCACCTCAGGGGCAAAGGGTAGAAAACGGGAAGAATGGCGAGGCTAGGGATTCCAAACATAAATTGACTCATTTTAAATTTTGTTACCAACAGTCTTGAGAGAATAAATAACTCTTAGTGTGTTGGTATTTTGTCCTTCAGACAATTCTTTTCCTGATAAGTGATTAGATTGTTGAGGTTAACAGCTATAACTGTGTGTATAGACAGCTTCAGGCTTCTCTAGTGGAGGTAGCATAATAAAGTCCTACTGTGTTACACACTGAAAACCTGGGATCTCAAGAACAAAGAAAATTCTAGGGTAGGACCAGCTCTGTGTCTTGACTATAAATAGTCAGTGCCTCCATATTGCCTGCATTATTAATGCAGCTTAAGTATTTTATTGAGAAAACTAACCAACATGAATCATTTTTGAGAACTGCACTTTTTTTTTTTTTTTTAATAGAGACAGAGTCTCACTTTGTTGCCAGGCTGGAGTAAGGTGTGGGATCATAGCTCACTGTAACCTCAAATTCTGGGCTCAAGCACTCCTACCTCATCTTCCCAAGAGCTGGGACTATAGGTATGCACCACTACGCCCAGCTAATTTTTAATTTGTGGAAACAGGGGTCTCACTACATGCCAGGCTGGTCTTTTTTTTTTTTTTCTTTTTGAGACAAAGTCTCACTCCGTTGCTGGGGCTAGAGTGCCATGGCATCAGACTAGCTCACAGCAACCTCCAACTCCTGGGCTCAAGCAATCCTTCTTCCTCAGCCTCCCGAGTAGCTGGGACTATAGGCCTGAGCCACCATGCCCGGCTAATTTTTCATATATATTTTTAGTTGCCAATTAATTCTTTCCTATTTTAGTGGAAGGTGGGTCTCTTCTTGCTCAGGCGGTTTCGAACTCCTGACCTTGAGCGATCTGCCTGCCTCAACCTCCCAGAGTGCTAGGATTATAGCCTGAGCCACCATACCTGCCGAGATATATCTATATTTGATATTGTAAAAACTGATTTTTTCACATTGCCAGAACTGTCCCAAAAAAAAAAAACTGAATTTTAATGATAAATGCATTTTGTATACCTCTAAGAAATTGGGTGCTGCATGCTCGTTGTGTCCCAGCTACTCGGGAGGTTCTGATGCAGCAGGATTGGCTTGAGCCAGGATTTGAGGTTTGCGTGAGCTAGTGGCTGACCCACGGCACTGCACCTACCTGACAACAAAGCAAAGACTCGTCTCAAAAAAAAAAAAGACTTGACTTTAATGAAGCAGAATGTGGTGGTAGTGATGGTTCATAACCTCCAAGATTAAGGTATAAAAGGCATTGTGTCTTCCCCTTGCTCTCTCTTTCCTTTGAATCGTGTGCTCTGGGGGACACCAGCTGCCATGTGGTGAGGACATTCAAGCACAGCTCTGTGAAGAGGTCCATGTGGTCAACAGCAAGCAAGGAAGTGAGGCCTCCTCGAAACAACCGAATGAGAGCTAGACTAGGTGAGGGTTTATCCCTATTTTTAGAAGGATTTTTACACAAAACATTTGAGAGCAAGATTTGCACTCAATAGTATAGCAAACCAGCTCTGGCTTTGTGTACAGCCTAGACTTGGGCCCTCATCCTTGCTGTAGACCTCCTTGCAAGGGTTTTCGCTTCCCACAGCTTTACACCCAGTCCCAGTGCACAAACACTACAGCACCTACAATCTCACAGCCAACCCACTCCCTAAGTCCAGTGACTCAGAGTTAAGAGAGCCTTACTCCTGCAGCTCTGGCCAGGTGATGACCAACTGCTTTGTATGAATTAGAAAGTTAAAAAAAAAAAACCACCTTTAGCCAGATATGCATAAGGAACCTCCACCTTGAACAGCAAGCCTCCTGTCCTTCAGTAGTCCTGTCTACTCCAAACCCCCAAGGTTCCCCCAGCCTCAGGCAGCCTTCTTTCAAGGACTTGTGGGGCCTGTGATGAGCACTGCAAGTTAAACAGGAGCATGGGCCATACTCAGAGGACTCTAGCTCTGCATCTATTGCTCTATTTCTGAGAGGGGATGGGCTGCACAGTTAGGGATGGGGCTGGCAGGTAAAGGGATGACCAGGTGACAGGCACACTGGCCCAAGGATAAACCTGGCCCTACTAGCATCATGTTGTAATCACTATGGATTAGAACTATGGATAAGGCTGAGTATGGTGGCTCATGCCTATAATCCTAGCACTTTGGGAGGCTGAGACAGGAGGATTGCTTGAGCTCAAGAGTTCAAGATCAGCCTGAGCAAGAGTGAGACCCCGTCTCTACTAAAAGTAGAGAAATTAGCTGGGTATTATGGAGTGCCTATAGTCCCAGCTACTTGGGAGGCTGAGGCAGGAGGATCGATTGAGCCCAGGAGTTGGAGATTGCAGTGAGCTATGATGATGCCACTGCACCCTACCCAGGGTGACAGAGTGAGACTCTTGTCTCAAAAACAAAGGAAATTGAACCCCCCTCCCCACTCCCCTTCTTAATATAAAAAAAATTTTTAAAAAAACTATGGATAATACAGTGTGACAGACCTCAAGAGAGCAAATGATTTATTCCTCTGCTGTCATGTCCATAGAGTAACATCTGCAAGGTCACACATCAGATAAATATGGGCACAGGAACTCATTCCTTATGCTTGATGACCTTGTTTTCCCACTCCCAAATGGCACCAACAAAAGGGGGAGTGTAATGTAGGGCTGACCATGGCGGGAGGATTGGCAAACTTTCCACAGATCACATTCATATCCTGGATCAGGTCTCACCTATGGCCTGGGGAACTCACAGAAAGACAAGGTCATTCAACCCCAGACTTTTTCTTTTGGCAGCCAATGATTGGTCACATGGCATGTTTCAAGGTTACAGAGGAGCCCCGGGGTACAAATGTGGGCCAGGAGTGGATAAATCTTGCTCAGGGCTTTACAATAAAGCTAGAGCAAGTGTTCCAGAAATCGACAACATCAGGAAGGCAACCGCTGGAAGCAGGCACCCAGGGATTCCAGAAAACCCTTCACTCCTGGGCTTTCGGGACTCCTCTTTCTTAGGCATCAAAAAGCCTCCTTTTGGCCGGGCGCGGTGGCTCACGCCTGTAATCCTAGCACTCTGGGAGGCCAAGGCGGGTGGATTGCTTGAGGTCAGGAGTTCGAAACTAGCCTGAGCAAGAGCAAGACCCTGTCTCTACTATAAATAGAAAGAAATTAATTGGCCAACCAATGTATATACAAAAAATTAGCCGGGCATGGTGGCACATGCCTGTAGTCCCAGCTACTCGGGAGGCTGAGGCAGTAGGATCGCTTGAGCCCAGGAGATTGAGGTTGCTGTGAGCTAGGCTGACTCCACAGCACTCACTCTAGCCTGGGCAGCAAAGGGAGACTCTGTCTCAAAAAAAAAAAAAGTCTCCTTTTGTGGAGTAGGGGAGGGACGTGCAGGTCACGGGCTAAGCTGGGCAGGTCGGGGAGGGCAGGGCGTTCCTTCAGACCCCAGTAGAGGTAGACAAACGCAGGCCAAGGGTTCAGAAGACGTGAAAGGCCGTTTACTCAGGGCTGGCTGGGGAAGCTCCCCTTCCCTGCTTTCTCTGATTAAATACGAAAGAAAGCCGAAGACAGCAAAGATTGTGAGGAAAACGACAATGAAAGCAGAGTCTCGGATCTGGTCCCACTGCAAGCCTTTGTTGGCCCGGTCCTCCTGCTGCTTGCGAAGGGCCTCCCGCCGGGCCCTCAGGCGCCGTTCCCGCTCCAGCTGTTCTCCGTAGTGCGCCTGGTAGAAGGCGTCGAAGTCGAAAATGGTGCGGTTAGCGCCCGGAGCGCCGTATCCGGCCCGAGAGGCGGCCGGCGGGGGACGGGGAAAGCCGGCGTCCCGTGTGGGCATCTTGGAGGGCTTGACGCCAGGTCCGCGCAGGTCCTCGTCAATGAGCAGACCGCGGTCATACTTGCGACGGAGGGTGGCACTGCCCAGCACCACGTAGGCCTGGGAGATGCGCTGAAGCGCTCGGCGGCCTCGGCGCTCCCCGAGTCGCGGTCCGGGTGGTAGAGGAAGCTCTGCCGGTAGTAGGCGGCCTTGATCTGCGCCTGCGTGGCCGTGGTGGGGACGTCGAGCAGCTCATAGAGCGCCGTGCGCGAGTACGAGGCGTCGCCCCGGGAATGTTGTGAAAATCTCCAGGCCTGCCACAACCTCCATTGGAATGACCGCGACCGCCTCAAACCTCTTTTGCATTTTTATAGGGAAGGGCTGGTGTTTATCCAAGTCTACCTTTTGTTTATCTGCATCTTAATTTCTCTTTCATTTCTGAAGTATAATGTTTTCGGATGTAGAATTCTTGATTGACAGTTTATTCATTCAGCACTTGAAATATATCATCACACTGCCTTCTGGCCTCCATGGGTTTCTTTTTTTTTTTTTTTTTGAAACAGAGTCTTACTCTGTTGCCCAGGCTAGAGTGAGTGCCATGGCGTCAGCCTAACTCACTGCAACCTCAAACTCCTGGGCTGAAGTGACTCTCCTGCTTTAGCTTCCCAAGTAGCTAGGGCTACAGGTCAAACCATCTCACCCTGCCAGGTTTTCTGTTTTTTGTAGAGATGGGTTCTTATCCTTGCTCAGGCTGATCTTAAACTCCTGGCCTCAAGCAATCCTCCCGCCTCAGCTTCCCAGGCTGCTAGGATTACAGGCATTAGCCACCGGACCTGATGTGAGAAGACATTTTGATTTAGTCCCAAAAGCTGAATGATAGAATACAAAAAAATCAGTGAAGATGTCAGATTCCTAATAAATAAAGTTCCTCTCTGCACACCCCAACAACACATACCCTTTTTCCCATTGTAGTTTCACTTGTGTGGGCAGGGTTTTCAATTTCCCTCTCAAATTGTTGAAGTCCCTTGTAGAGACAGCTGTTAAAGCAGCTGTCATTCTCTGCCCTTAGATGGCATAGGGGAAAGTTGCCATAAAAATAATGTGTTCTGTTGCTTAGAAGGAGATTTAAGCTCTCTGGAGGATGTCTGAACTCATGTGGTTCTTTAGCCATTTAAGTTTTCTGGCACTCTTTGATGCTTCTTTGGTTCCATGACATGTCTCCCATTCTCTGCAGGGATTGTGGGACTTTATCAAATCGGTTTGTAATAACACCTCGAAGACGGTATCCGATCCAGCAGGCCCAATATTCCTTTCTGGGGGTACTTCCCACAGTGTGCTGGAATGGTTGTCAAAAGAAGACTGTATTATCTGTTCGTAATTCCAAGATGGTGTGTAGCCCAGTGACTGTGAGGATTGCCCCTCCTGACAGCAAATTGACTCGTCCCACAATGTGAGTATTATTATTGGAAGAATACTATCCCTTTTGTGTCCACTTCATTCTTCTACATTTGTTCCTCTGACAGAACAACTATAAAGCAAAAAAAAGGAAGTAGCAGTTCATTAATGAGAAATCCCAAATTCTAGTAAAATCTTCTCTTTTTCATGTTTTGCCCTTGACAGTAGCTTTAATTGCTAAGAACAGTTTCTGTGAGTCTAACTTATACTTTTGCCTATTGATTAGCTTCTGATTTTCAGTGACTTAAGTCTGTGCCACATGGCATGGTAATTAAAATATCTTACTGCTAGAGTCTTGTTTTTCATTACAGACCAGAGCAGATAATCAGCTCAACACTGTCCTCACCATCAAGTAATGCCCCAGACCCATGTGCGAAGGAAACTGTCCTGAGTGCCCTCAAAGAGAGGAAGAAAAGGACAGTGGAGGAAGAAGACCAAATATTTGCTGATGGCCAGGAAAATAAAAGAAGGTAACAGGCCCAGTAGATTACTAAACAGGGCTCCCATGTGGACTCCTGAGAATTTGATGAAATACGGAGCATTCTCATAAAGATACAGAGGCCAGCTCCAGTTTGTGAGCCTTAATAGGTCCCCTTCTTTGGCTTTCATGAAAGAGCCTGGTAATAAGGGCTTCAATGCTGTTCATTTCCTAAGGCACAGGTTAGATACATTTTATAATTTACATTTTCCTTAAATACTTTCTAGAGAGAAGCTGACAACTATTAGCCATGTTACTCTCTACTTTTGATACAGATGTTTTAAATTTAATTTTTATATTTGAATGCTCAAAGTCTTCCTTCACATTTTGTGATGTTCAATTATTTGGGTAACCACCAATTTAAATGTTGTAATTGTGCTGAAGGAAATACTTGTTAAAGAAAAGTGAAAACTAGAGTATGGTAGAGTTATCAATAATGAGATTAAAACCAATTTCCTTATTTGGTTTATATAGTAACTTAATGAAAATGGAATAAACAGTATCCTAAAGTATGGAAAGAGAGGACATTTAAGAGGTTAATTAGGATTAAGGATTATTATTTGTGGCTTTCCAAGGAGTCAAAGATTCCACTCATTTTTTAATTCAGCAAATATTTATTGAGCACCCATGTGTACCAGACCCTATTCTGAGTACTGTGGATAGAGCAGTGAACAAGACAAAATCCCTGCTCTTGTGAATTTTTTTGAGGAAGTTGTGTCATTTCATTGAGAATTTTTTGATTTATCACAGGCGCCATGATAGCAGTGGAAGTGGACATTCAGCATTTGAGCCCCTGGTGGCCAATGGAGTCCCTGCTTCTTTTGTGCCTAAGTAAGTGAGAATCCATCTGGATAAAATGTCAACTACTTGGGAAAATGGAATTATTAGAGTGGCTGCCCTATAGATTTTCCTCTTTGTTTTTTGTATCACTTAATTAGTTCAGGTTAACATCTTTGAAATCAGGAAGGAATATTTTGAGTAACTTCCCACAATTAGCTATCTTCTGTCCAATTCCTTTTAATATTTTAGCATTAATATGGGTGAAATATGCTAAGTCCAACAGGGTTTATAAATATATTTGATAACCAGATACATAAATAGAAAGAGTGTAAGCTTTGTGCAAAGCATAAATGCAATGATATGAAATTTAAGATAAACATAAAGTTTCAATATTTGAGTTTAAAAATACTTTGGAGTAAGAATTGAAAGAAAAATGGCTTAGCAGTTTGTGTGAAAAGACTTAAGGATAGCTTACATGCTTAATTTGAGTCAGCAGTATGATGTGGCTGCCAGAAAAGCTAACATGCTCCTAGTCTGTGCTGTTAGAAGAAAGACTAGAATGAGGTGGGTGGGTGGTAGTCCTGCTTTTCTTAGTTCTGCTCAGAGTGTTCATGGAGTGTTGTGTTCAGTTTGGCATACCACACAACAAGAGAGGATGCATGCATACTGAAATTGTAGTGAAGCAACGACGATGTTAAATGTTAAGGAGATTTGCAACAGCCCCAAGGGGAAGTGGTGGTGGTGGGTGAAGGGATTTGGGAGGTGTATAAGTACTAGCCCAGAAAAGGAAAATCTCAAGGGGCATAAGGAAATAAGGGAGGGAGGATAATGATCCCCAAAAAAACTATCACATGAAAGAGGCAAAATAACTTGTTTGGTTTGGCTTTAGATAGGATTTATGGGTGAAAGTTAGAGGAACTACATTTACATAAGAATAAATAGATTTATGGTTGACGTGGATCACTGTAGGAGATACTGAGTTGTCTACATTATAACTTAACTTGGACAACTCTCCCAGGGGAGAGATATATATATAGGGAATCTGTTTCAGTTGGAGGCTTAGAAAAAAATGGTTGGTTCCTCTTTAACTCTGATTTTTTTAACAGCATTATTGAAGTATAATTGATGTACAATAAACTACCTGTTTAAAGTGTATATGTTTTGACATGTATATCCCTGTGAAACCATTACCACCATAAAGATAATAAACATACAGTCACCTCCAAAAGTTCCCTCATGGCCTCCCTGTATGGTCCCTCCAGTCTTGCCCCCATCCCCAGACATCCATTGATCTGCTGTCTATCACTGTAGATTAGTGTGCTTTCTCTAGACTGGTTTTATTTAAGTTTTAAATATTTGGCTTTCCCTACTGACTTTGTGAGATCGATTTAGCAGCAGAAATTAAGAGCATTATCCTCTTTTATTCATGTTTGTTAAGAAAGGTGTCATGACCACAGATGAAACCTTAAAAGAGTGTTACCGTCAATAGTACATCTAACTATCTTCTTTTTATTAGGCCTGGGTCTCTGAAGAGAGGCCTCAATTCCCAGAGCTCAGAGGACCATGTGAATAAGAGGTCCCGTACCTCTTCTGTGAGCTCCTTGGCAAGCGCATACACAGGTGGCATCCCTAGCTGCAGTCGCAATGCCATCACAAGTTCCTACAGCTCTACTCGAGGCTTCTCACAGGTATGCTTTTGTAGTGCGGGGGAAATGGGTTCCCAGTATTAATTAATTGATGTGTCAGAAATTAGGATTGTCTCTAACTAAGCTAAGAGAAGGTACAAACCCTTGAATAATAATGTAGACCAGTGGAACAGAATTGAAAGCCTGGGAAGTAAACGAGTGCATATGTGGAATCCTGATCCAAGACAAAACTATTAATTCAGATAAATGGATAAAGGATAAACAGTTCAATAAATGGTATTAAATGGGATTGAAAAGGTAGATTGAGTCCGGAGTGCATTGAGTCATCAAAGAGATTTATGCTATAGGCATTTAGAATGTAATGAAAGTTTCTTAAACAAGAAGTGGTCATAATTCTATTTTAGAAAGAGGATTGGAGTATTATATAGGGAACAGAGCAGGCTTTGCTATCAGACAGACTTGGGTTCAAATTGTGGCTCTGACACTTAGTAGTTGTAGGGTCTTGGGCAGACAAATCACTTAACCTCTCTTTTTCTCATTGCTCTTCAGCAATCATTGTAATGATTAAAGGTAATGTTTGAAAAGCACTCATGGCTGGGCGCAATGGCTCACGCCTGTAATCCTAGCACTCTGGGAGGCCGAGGCGGGTGGATCGTTTGAGTTCAGGAGTTCGAAACCAGCCTGAGCAAGAGCAAGACCCCGTTTCTACTATAAATACAAAGAAATTAATTGGCCAACTAATATATATAGAAAAAATTAGCCGGGCATGGTGGTGCATGCCTGTAGTCCCAGCTACTCGGGAGGCTGAGGCCGCAGGATTGCTTGAGCCCAGGAGTTTGAGGTTGCTGTGAGCTAGTCTGACATCACGGCACTCACTCTAGCCTGGGCAACAAAGCGAGACTCTGTCTCAGGAAAAAAAAAGAAAGAAAAGCACTCATTACCTTCCTGTCAATAAGTGGGTACCCAACATACAATAGCTAGAGCAGGTGTCCTTAAACTACGG